TTCTTGTATAGATATATATAAATTTTGTGTATTAATTTATCTTCTCAACTCATAGTACTTCTGTCAGCAACACCATTTGTAGACTTACTGAATGACTTTATCTGAGATGTCTCACATAGCATCACTTTCAAATAAGGGTTACATTTTTCAGTAAAGGAATTGTGGCAACAATTTCACACTCATGCAATAATTCATTGGCTTTTCTCCCTGCACCATCATTGGCTTTACCATATGCAGCTGTCTTGGTAAAATAGTGGAATGGTCTTTTGAAGAGTCACATGTGGTGCCAACTAGAACACACACTTTGAGAGAGTGCTGTCTTAATGAAAGCAGTGTATTCCTTAAACTGGTGGTTGATAAGTGTTGTTGTCATCCTCATGACTGGAGTGAAGAGGTTCAAGAACCGAAGGGTGGAGTAGGGAAGAGCCCCTGTTATCCTTAAACTAAATGGCATACTGTAGGAACTTTTTCTTGTTCTGTGACCCTAGGCTCCCTGGAAAGAAGGTTCTAGGGCCCAGAAATGAAATGCTTCCCCTAGGGAATATAGTCTGTGGAAGATCTGAGGAATTGGAAGCTGAGATTGCCCAAAAGCCATTTGGCCCCTTGTGTCATTGAATAAACAGGTAGAAAGGTGTCATCATACTGGTTGGAGTGATTGATCCTGATTCTTCAGGGAAAACTAGGTTGTTGCTTCTTTTTTTTTTCTTTTAGTTTTTATTTATTTATGATAGTCACACACAGAGAGAGAGAGAGGCAGAGACATAGGCAGAGGGAGAAGCAGGCTCCATGTACCGGGAGCCCGACGTGGGATTTGATCCCAGGTCTCCAGGATCACGCCCTGGGCCAAAGGCGGCGCCAAACCGCTGCGCCACCCAGGGATCCCCAGGTTGTTGCTTCTTGATGGAGGTAAACTCAAGGGATTCCCTGGAGCAGGTCTTATTTCTCTGCCTAGTGGTTTCAGACAATGGAAAACTGTAGCATCCAAAAAAGAAGAGCACCAAGGAGTATATTTTGCTTGGGGTGGGGAATACAGATTTCCAGCTTAAGGAAGAAGAACATGGACCTGAGGGGCAAAAGGCTTAGCCAATGTTGGATGACTTCCAATGACCCTTCACAATTCACTGGAAGGAAATTGGAGTATGGGAAGAGAGTGAGGTCAGGGTATTTATTCCTGGTTGCGTCCCTCTGGGGTCACCCCAGGCTGTTTTTCTTGAGGTGGGTCATGGCTCCTAATATGCTGTCCTTTCTACAAAGCTCTCTCTCTCTCTCTCTCTCTCTCTCTCTCTCTCTCTCTCTCGGTTCTGGTAACTGTTTTCTCCTCTTGTCCATTCAGGTCTATGGTTGATAAGGGGTGTATCCTACTGTGACTAGCTTTATCTATGCCTTGGGATTTCCCTATACTCTGCCCACATCTTTATAAATAAACCCTTTATTACATTTACCTCAAATCGCCAAATTTTGAATGTGTCATATATTTCTTGTTAGAACCTGATTGGCACAGCATAGCTCCCAAATTCACCCAAGCAGATTTGAAAGACTTTGATGTGGGAGAGACATTCTCTTTCTTGCAAAGATGTAAATAACTGAACATGCAATTTTTATTCTCACAGAAAATTATCTTATAAATGTAAAGGAACTTGGCCTTAAGCAATGAATGTCAGGTCAGAGAATTAAATAAATGCTGATCTTTGCTGACATTATGGAACTAACAGATCAACAGTTCTGATCCTGTAGTACTTCTGGACTTCCAATTTTGTGATCTAATGAATATTTTGATCACTTTGATTTGGAGTTTTCCAGCTTTTGAAGCTGAAAGTAAACTTAACTGGTAGATTTTTGGAAGTAGAATCTATGAGTCAAGGGGTACATACATTTAGATTTTTAATAGCTTTTGCTAGATTGCTTTCCAAAAAGGCTGTGCTGATTCACACATCCATCCATACAGTGAGTGAATCTGTTTCCTCACCACCATTGCCTACCACCTTTTTAATTTGTGCCTTCCTGATGGGTGGAAATGGAATCTCATCATTGCTTTGATTTGCATTTTGCTAATTACTAGTATGGTTAACTATAATTACTTCTATTTGTTGGATATTTGTATTTTCTTTCTAGTGAAAAGCTTGTTACACCTATTATTTACTTTTCTATAAAATTACTTGGATTTTAAAAACTAGTAGAAATTACTTCAAAACTCTGAATATTAGGTGTTAGCTTGTTAGATGTGTTGCAAATATTTTTCTTGTAGGTACCTTATATTTTCATTTTAACCCATGGTGTGTTTTGTCTGAGTTTGTCCAAAATTCTAAAATTTTGATGATGTTCAATTTATCATCTTTTCTTTCATGGCTTTTGCATTTTGCGTGATGTGGATCATTAAGCTAAAAGTTCTCTGTCTTGGCTCTTTGTCTAGGAATTTCAAACTTTGGCTAGTTAGGTATTTTACCTAAACTTTTCCTTAAATGTTTTACCACAAGCTGTCTGATGAAGACTTTAGTTGATTTTTTATTTTTTGGTCTTCATCAGACAGCTTGTGGTAAAACATTTGATTCTGTATATATTTGTCAACTATAGGAGCCAGATAACCTCTCCTACTTCATTGTTCTTTCTGCTATGAATGTCAGCTTAGCTACATGAATATGTTTTTATGGAGGTTGTGCATCTATGAACAGGTAATAGAGATTCTAGTAGTGTATAAGCAAGCTCTCTCCCTCTGCCTAGTTTCCACTGATGTTCCTTCCACTTATCAAGATCATGGGCATGCTAAGTAAGCAAAATGGCAGGACTTGATGTCAAACAAGCATGGATGATAATATCTTAGAACTTAAAAATTGGAATCTGGGCTTCATGATCTCTTAAAATTTTTTCCATGTCTAGGGTTTTTGGCTTTATGAGTACTTACTTGAATTCAATTCAAGCCATACTTAATGGTGTACATAGTTTTCATTGTTGGATGTGACAATAAAACATTATTAGAAAGAACCTGACAAACTGTTTATATAGCAGAATCATAGTCTTTACTTTTTATAACCAGCATGAATATTGATAGTCCTCTTGGATACAACTAGGGCATCATGTACTCATATTATCCATCCCTTCTACTCTAAGACAAAAGTTCTGGTCCATTTCTTCAGAAGATGTGCTCTCTGATCCTCAATTATCCACCCCAGTGGTTCAGTTCTTCCCTCTTATCACCATCACTCCTGTTCTAATTTCTCTGATACTCATTCACACTAAAGTTTAAACTGGGGACTTCAGAATGGATACTGATTGCTGGCAATTCTGGAAAGTACTGGATGTTTTTAATGTTGGGAAGTGAGGGAAAGGTCAGACTCAAGTGGAATAAGAGGCTGAGGCTAATGAGGACAGATGTCATCGTAAGACATAGGTTTTTGCAACCTTTTTCTGGGCATGGGAAATTCAAGCTATACTCAATGGCTTTTGAATCAATGAAAATATAACTCTCTGAGTTGTATCCACATTGGTGGTTCATGGACTGAACATACCACACTCTCTTTTCAGAGGTCTGAGCATCAGTTTGGCTGAGGGCCCCTCCTGAGGTCTGGACATCAGTCCTACAAGGTCCTTCCTTTGAGCTCCTCAGGTCTTTTGTTCCCTTTTGTTTCTATCCTGCAGTTTTTACTACGGGATACTTTGGCACCTCCTTTAGCCTTCTAACATATATTGTGACCAGTTCCCTTTGTTTGAAATTCCTTGTGTGGGTTCTGCTTTCCACATTAGATCCTGATTGAAACAAAGACCTAAGGAATATAGGGACCAGGTGATAGGACCCTTTAGATGCCATTTTGTGGCAAACATCCCAAGAAAGGAGGTTAATTGACTGATACATGATGGAGAGGCTCTTCAGTTGGACAGAGGGGACCCAAGAGAGGTGACACTGGCTGAGCCTGGCTTTGAACACAAGTATGTCTGAATTTATTATCACACTATCTCCTGGGGTAACGGATAACCTGGAAGCCAAAAGTGATGGGATTGAGGCCTTGACAGAAAAGGACCATGTTCCTCCAAGGCCAACATGGAGATGGAGGTGACAGTATGAGAGGTTAAACAAGGAGACTCTTCAAGTCTGGGAAGAGGAGCTCATGAAGGTGCTTGCCTAAAAGGCTCTGTCTTAGCCTGCCCCCCACCCCCAACTAGGCAAATAAATATGAAGTTGTTCTCACTCTGTCTTTTGAAATTCATCTCAGTCAAGTTAGCTTGTGCTGCAGAAAATTTTTGTGCTTGACCTCAGCAAATGGAGAATGGAGGTGTAACAAACACGGTACAAAAAAATAGTAATAAAGCTGTTACCATTCATTGAAAACCTACTAATGCCCTGCATTGGTAGAACAGAGGGTGGGAAATAAGTCAGAATCTGGGGCTCAGTTTTTAAGGAGATCATTGCTGACCATTTCAGTCCTCAGGCAGTTCTGCATTTTGGGGGCACCAGGGACCAGGCTTGCCTCAGTGAAGGGCACGCTGCTCAGTGCCTGTGGCTTCCCAAGGGGGTGGAGATGCATTTCTGAGGAGCTGAAGAAGACAGTATGGCATCTTTCAGCCTAACCCTCTTTTCAGGAGTGGCCCAAGGTGGTTCAGGAGGATTGGAGGGCCAGAAATGCCATGTGGACCCTGCCTGAAGCCCATAGCGAATTTTGCAATCACAGGACTCCCTTAGTGGAACTATAGAGGGCAAGCTTACCTGCTCCAGCAGATGGACTCCTTTTGTGAAGAGCCTGGAATTTCCAGTTGTAGCCTGAGTGACAGGCAGGAGAACTGAGTTCTGGGGAAGTCCCTCAGTCTCCCCTTGCTGAGAAGCCTGGGGTCTGTCATCAACTCTATTTCCCTGTGGGCGTGGCTGGGTCCCTCCTCCTGCAGCTCATGCTGATGCTATGATTTCTCCATCAGAGTCTCACAGGATCTTCTGACATACAATTGCCACACCCCACCAAAGTTGGTGGCACCTCCCCATGCTCACCAAATAAATGTCAGTCTCTGTCAGAACCCGCCACTGCTCTTGGGAGCTATTGGAGCTGTGATTCAATCCTGTGCACTTTTGATAAAGGTCCTCCAACTTTTCAACCTTCCCTCTTTTCTGTGCTTTAGGGCTCAGGGAAGAGATGAGGCCATGCCAAGCTCTGTGTTTTGTCCAGTGCAGGGCTAGCTGCTTCTCACTTCTCACTTCCCAGGGAGTTGCTAGGATCCTGGCAGAGCTTCCCTGCTCCCAGGCAGAAGCAGATGCCAATGGGAGAAAGAGGAGGAGACGCAGGCATCAGGCAGCTGTGAATATTTAGGGTCAAAAGTCATGCCTGGCTTAGAACTTCAGGGGAGATACTGTCACTGGCTAGATCTTTGTGTGGAGGAAATTCTGCCCAATGTCTCCTCCCTGTTACTACTTTGAAGTTTTGTCTCAGGAGGTGGCTCAGATTTTCTGACTAGGGCTTCATGTCAGGCCAGGCTTCACAGCTCCTTGTCCAGAATGAGGATCTCAGTAACTAGTGTCCTAGAGAGGTCTCGGAAGTGTCTCCTTTCCTGGTGCTCATGTCTCCTATCCCTGTCCCCACAGGTATTGAGATAACCCCGCTATGACATGCATTCGAGGAGTCCCTATGTCTAAAGAATCCTATACAGCAGGTGATGTTAAGATGGGGCTCTGGAGGTCTGGGACACCTGTACTTACACCTGTCTGTTCTGGATACCCCAGCATTCTTTGCCCTCTTTCTGTATGGCCTTTACCACCCAGTGCTATCCATCTTCCACTGGACAGTGAGCTTCCACAGGGTGGGGAGTAGTGCTTGTTCTCTGCTCTGGCTCAAGATCAGCACCAAGCCAGGCACAGTGGCATCAGAGGGAGTAGCTGGACCTTGACACACAGGTACTATGTGTGACAGTTTACTCTCTTAGACCAGACCTTACCCTCCTCACCACAACCTGTAGCTTTCCCATAAAGAAATGCTGAGCTGAAGGTCATGTGAATTCTGTCACTTTTGGTGTATAAATCTGGGACCTTCCTTCCCAAAGGGCCTAACATCTAGAAAAGTGGCCTAATTATAATGGGTCTTCATTATTCTTTTCTGTTTAAACCACAGCGAATAAACCTCACATTGGGGAGGTCTCCGACTTGGATCAGCAGGTGTGGATCCTTCAGGGTCAGACCATTGTGACAGTTCCACGGAGTGACAGTGTAACTCCAGGTGAGTGGTCATCTTGGGGCTGTTGCCTTGGAGGCAAGGGAGGGGTCACACTGGTGCCCTTGGGAGACTAGCACTGGCCTTTTGTGAAAGGGTGGCTTTACAATAGGGCGGAGGAGGATTTCACACCAGCCTGGGAAGTCATGTCACTGGATGGAGGAGGATTTCACACCCTCCTGGGAAGCCATGTCAGGGAGAAGTTTGTCTGGACAAGGGTGTAGAAAGCAGAGAGGGAAGAGCAGTCTCCTGGGGAGGAGGAGAGATGCTTTCAGTGACTGACAGCCTGTCCCATGGAAGAGGAGTATCTTACTCTGCCTGACTTCAAGGTGTCCTAAAAGGACTAAACGAATGAGTACAGGCAGGCAGATTTCAAGATCATATTGGGCAAAACTTGCTTATGGACAGAACTCTTTGAGGATCAGAGGGGCTGCTTGGGGTTGGAGCTTCCCACCTTCAGGTGTTTAAGCAGACGTGTGATAATCCCTAGGGCAGGGTCTGCTATCTGGGTAACTCTTTTGTGTTTGCTCCATTTCCTAGGGCAGTGACGGGTACGTGGCATGAATGAATAAATGAACAAATGAATGCGGTAGTTGGCCATTTGGTGGCCTTGGGATAGCAGGGATTATACTCTTAGGGTTTTTTCCTGCCCCACCTGAAAGATGCTGGTCTTGTCCTGACTTCAAGAGCAAATTGTTACCATCTCCCTTCTTATCTTTATTAGTCACTGTCACTGTTCTCCCATGCAAGTATCCAGAGTTGCTTGAGCAAGGCAGAGGCATTCCCATTTATTTGGGAATAGAGAATCCAGAAATGTGTCTGATTTGTGAGGACAGTGGAGGGCAGCCCACATTGCTACTAAAGGTGAGTAAGAAAAATAATGTTTAAAAAAGGCCAATTTCTTTTGTTTATTTGGTAAATAACCTAATTTTAGAATTAAAAAAAGAAATATTCTCCTATTTTTAAACATATTTAATATTCCTAGATATTTTTTAGTTATGTGCATGCAACTGAGTTTTCAAACCTCTCACTAGTTGAGGATGTTTGTCTTTCTTGAATTTTGAGATAGTCTCAACCATTGTTTCTTCAAGTATATTCTCTCCTTCATTCGCCTTACCTTTCCTTTTAGAATTCCTATGCCTTGGTCATTGGGTCTTCTTCCCTCTTTAATATCTCATCTAATTTTCTATACTTTCTATCCTTTCATTGTTTTTGTGTTTTGCTTGATGCATCCTGGGAGAATTTCTTGGTGCAATCTTCCAAGTCATTATTACATTTTAAGCTTGTCCTGTCTGCTAAATCATTCTTCCATTGTGTGTTCTGAAATTTCAGCTTTTACTCTTGTTCCTTAAACTTCAGTTCCATAAACTTCAGCATAGTTCTCTTCAATTGAACTCAACCCAATCCAACTTAGTTCAGCAAATGTGTGAGTTGTTACTGGCCTTCAGCACTGCTGTGGCCATTTGACATCCACTGGGGCACAGAATGGCAGAGGGCCCGCCCTGATAGGGCTTGGATTCTCCGGGAGAGAAATGGTAAACAATAGCTATAATAATAGGTAAGTTTGAGATGCCTTTAAGGGTGTTATGTTCCCTGGGAGAGCACAGATAGACCAGGATAAAGAGGCTGGCAGTGCTAGACCCGGGTAGAGTCGGGCTGCCGTCGAAAATAGTGCAGTAGGCGTCCTAAGATTTCAGCAGACAGTAGAAGGCAACAAGAGAGTTAACCAGCAGGGTGTCAGGGACAGCAAAGATTAGTGGAAAAATAGTGTGACAGTAGTGAATTAATGGACCAGGAGTTCAGAGAGATAAAGGCAGATCACAAAGGGCCTCGCCCGCATATGGAAGGACTTTGCCTTTCAATCTGAGTGACATGGGGAATTATTAGGAAGTTTTTAACAGGAGAGTGACATGAATGGACATAGGTTTAAAAATAATTGTTTTGGCTGATAGTTGAAAGCAGACTGTGGGGTGGGGGGTGCAAGGGTGAAAGTCCTGTGGGGGACTTCGAGGTGCTCTAGGTGAGATGTGATGGAAGAGAGGATAGCAGTGGAGGTAGGTGGAAGCCAGCCAGATTCTGAAAATATGTTATTTAAATTGAGGCAACAGGATTTGCTGGCAGAGTGAATGTGAAATGTGATGAAGGAGGATCGAGAATTACATTTTCAGCTACATCCTGTCTAGTAAGTCACCCTTCTACTGTGGTTTTGTCCTCAGATGGATTGAGCATTGGACATTGCATTCTGTCATGTGTGAGTACTTAGGACCTCGGTGACAGTGTTGTTGCAGCGCTGGAGGTGAAAGCCTGGATGGAGGGCGTTGAAGAGAGGGATAGGAGGAGAGAAATCCAAGACAGCACATATAGGCAACTATTACAGGAAGGTTTCTGCAAAGGGGAGCTGGGAATGGTGGTGCGCAATCAAAACAGTTATTTTTTAAGATGGTAGGATGACAGCAAATATGCTAATGGGAACAATGGAGAGAAAGCCAAAATGATAAACTGCTGGAGGAACAACCCTAAGCTGGGAAGGGTAGATGGGACCTGCAGCCCAGGCCTTCCCAGGCAGGGAGGGAGTCGAAAGGGAGGAGGAGGACATATTGGAGTTTGAAATGAGAAAGTGTCTTTTTATTTATTAAACACATATCTATTGACTTTTTCTGTGTCGAGAAATATAATAATGAACAATTCTGGCAATAATTATATGATTGTTGGCTAAATACACTAAGTTCAGATGATAATTGGACCTAATGAAGGTAAATAACCTGGTAATGAGATAGGGAGGGGGCTTGAAGGTGGCTGAATTATGGACCATTCCTGTGTAGTGGCTCTCTGGAGAGCTTGTGCATGTGTAATTTAGAGGTCCTTGGTTTACTGCTGCAAATCTGCATCTCCTTCCTTTTCCTACCCACCCACCCTGCCACCTCTTGTGTAACAAGAGTTCCAATTCATTCTTCAAGTGTGCCCGGTTGTTTATTAACCTGTCCCTTGTGTCATTCTGACTCCATCTCTGGATTTGAGGCTGGGGGCTGGGAAGGTGAGATTGTGTGCTCAGTCTGTGGCTCCTTTGGAAATGTATTTTTCTAGGCCTGTTTTAATAGAAGGATAAAGCTTTCTCGAACTTTGGAACATTTACTGATTATGTGCAAATAATTCTGAACTACTCAAACAGCCTCTGCTTCTCCTACTGGGCGTTCTTTGTTACATTTCAGGAGGAGGAGATACTGGCTCTGTACAATGAAATGGCGCCTGTGGAGCCCTTCCTCTTCTACCACTCAAAGAATGGCAGGACCTCCACCTTCGAGTCTGTGGCCTTCCCTGGCTGGTTCATCGCCTCCTCTGAGAGAGGCCACCCCATCTTCCTCACTTCGCATCAGGGGGGAATGTACAATGTTAACTTCAACTTAAATATCAACGCTTGAACTCAGGCTGAAGGGGGCAGCTTGGTCAAAGGTCTTTGTGTTAAATTTTCTAGTTCCCAGTGTGCTTTCCTCTGTATTATTGCAGTGTCATTTCACATCAGTGCTGAGAGGTGGGCAGGACACTATTATCACCGCACTTTATGAATGACTTCATGGCGACTGAGGCATAGAATATGGGCTCAACCATAGGAGAGAGGGTTGATGTAAGGTTCTCCTCTCAAGCTGAAGCTGTCCATTCCACAGCCATCCGTATGAGGATGTCAGGACCCAAAGACATTAGGGCATTCTCTGGGGGGTGGAAATGGAGAAGCCTCAGAGCTCAAGAATCTTACCCAAGATCGGGTGGCTGTCATGGAGCTGATTGTTTTGTTTTGCTTTGTTTTCCTTCCTATTTGTATTACCTTTTCCATATGCTTTTTGTTTTGTCAGTATATCTCGGGTTGTATAATGTATCCTTTTAAGGGTTAAAGAACTTTTAAAGATAAATAATTTTTAATAAGAGTTAAATTATTTTCCCTAATTCTAATATGTAAACATAAAGCCAAATATAAACTTCGTGTGTTTACATAATTAAAAAAATCTAAAACTAAGAGATAAAATGAAATAACAAACATACCGAACTGAAATTACAAAGGTAGTTGAGTGAGGATAGCTCAGTGGGTGAGCCTGTGACTGGGGCTTAGCTGAGGGGAGAAAGATCCCTGTCAGTGGAGATAGGCTGGCATGGAGATTATGCATGTAGAAGAGCACTACTATTTCACTACTTTCAGTATAGTCTCACAGCCTTGATTTCTTTGCCTTTTTTAGACTTTTCCTTTTAGGCATGCTTACCATCCACATAATCCCTTTAAAAACTGCAGTAAAGATCCCTTTCTTTGGAGCAGAGAGCCTAGTTTTTCCACCAGCCATGCTTCAGATGATGTATTCTGATGATTACATTACATGATCAATTAGTAATCACTAATCGTGGGTATAATTGTAGAAAGATGTAGCTCAGCTCTGGATCTGTATATAATAGATTTCTTATTTTGACTCTGATACTACAAATGCAGAAAATTCTGTTTGCTTAAATACAATTTCCAAAACAGCACCAATAACTTAAATTTGTTTTTTTTTCCTACTTTTGGACAATCAGGCCACATACTCTAATAGGCAGGCCAGTAAGCAATCAGTAAGCACTGATTTAATGCAAGGCCTCTTGATCCTTTAAATTTTTCTTCTTCAATTACATATAGTTTTAGCATTGCAGTTTTATAAAAAAAAAATCAACAAACCAAACATTAAAATGGGCACTGAGCTAATTAGTTCTGGAATATTAAATAGAAGAATTGGTTATTGAATATTTACAACTATCCCCACTGCTAATAAATGGTAGCAGTTTCTTACATCTGCCAAGTTACCTTGCTACATCGTCAGTTGTTATGTCTGACAGTTGGGATCTGGTGACACATTTGCTTATGACATGATTATGGTCTGAGTGTTACAGCATCTCCATCCTGTTACAGGTGATTCCATCATCCCATCTCTTTTCTCCTCCACCAAAACTGTTCATGCAGACACCATGACACTTTGGATTGTTACTTGGTACAGATTTGAGCTCAAACAAAAGCTCAAATATGAGTCTTGGTGTCATATAACTGCCTACTCTGATGATCCAGAGGAGGTTCTGATAACATATTTAGAGTGTAATCAAAATGAAAACATAGTAATCTCATAGTTTGTGAAGAAGTCTGGAAAACAGACTTCCAGGGACCCCTGGCTTATCTACCACGTTTGAGAAAGACCACAGCATATGAAATCATGGAAGGCCCCTGTGAGTAATGACATCCTCATTGGTAGGTTTATGGCCCAGTGAACACCTGGTTTTCACATATTTGAATATCAAATGCTCTTGCATTTGAGTTCTATGAGCTCCAGGCCAACATTCATTGAAGGATTTGGTTCTTTTGGATCTTTAACAACGGGGTGGTATAAGGGGCTTGATGCACTGTGTTGGGGAGGTCATTGAGGAGGATATGACCACTAGTTGACCCATGAGCTGTGCCCTGGCAGTTGGAGAGTTCTCACCTCCTCCCCTGCCCTTGCATTGTGTGCGCTCTGCTTGCCTTCCCTGCTCCCAGAAGCTGCCTCAAATACATAGCCTTGTGATAGGGATGTGATGTTGAGACATCTGGATGACATATATGGCTGCACCTAGTTAAAGCCTCCATATAAATTTTCAGTATTCTAGTGGGTGAGTATAGAGATCTACTTATCTTGAAGCTGCCCAAAGACAAGAGTCCTATGTAATTTCCCTTGCTTATTAAATTTGCCACCTATCGATCTGAATTGTCTCTTTCCTTTTGGTCTCATTCATTCCTGATCTCCACATATGAGGACTGGTTTCAGATTATACCCAGGAAGCTCCTGAGGAGGTGTGATCTGCAGATTACACTGAGAGAGGAGCTTTTGGATTCTGGGAAGGAATTAAGAACCTTGCCACCAAAATCACAATTGTAGTGAAGACAGTTGAGTGGGATGTTTTTCTGCTTTGGGGGTCATATCTTCTGGCATCAGGATTGCTGAAAGGCAAAGACAGCTTCCGAAGCTGGACCTGAAGATACCGTCCTTGAACTCATGAACAATGGGGCCTGGATACTGAAGATGCTGCCCCCGGGACCCTGAGAACAGTGGTTGTAATAAGTAATTCTTCATGTTAATAAAACATTGCTTTTTATTTCTCAAACTTTAAAAAGTCATTTAAAAGAAAATTCATCCAAAACAATACATATCTATGATTAAAAGTGATATTCTTCTCCCCAATCCTATATCCATGAGGCAACTGCTAACTCCTTTTCAGCTCTTTTTTTTTTCAGTTTTCCTCCACATATCTAGGTATATGTTTTACTTCTACTTCTTGAATTACCAACTTTAGACATTATCTTTTCTACCAGACAGATGTCATTTGCATCTCTACTGTACAAAAATCATATGCCTTGTATCTAATGCCCTTTATCTATTTGTTACAAGTTAATAGTAAGTCAAACAAAATTGTATTTATAGAGAGTTAAATGACCTTTGGGTGGGTCTGTTAGACACGACACGGGTGGGCTCTGGTATGACATTGAAAAGGCACACAATAATCCTTTACTTTTTTTTCAAGACTTGGATAACTCTTTTGAATTACATAATTTTCCCTCAGTCTTTTCTTTTTATGAGTAAGGAAAGGGTGATACATGGAGTGGGTATGACTTGTTGAGGGTGGCATGGACATTTAGTAGTAGGACTGGATATATGATACTCTTGAATTTTGGTCTTTCTATTTCTGTCTCCTTATGTTGGGATGAATTGGGTTGGGTTATGAAATGTTGTATGAGAAAACAGCAGCAATTATCCAGAGCAAGACAGCACAGCAAAGTATGAGCCACCTCATTCCCATCATTGGGGCTATCCTTATTTAGCAAGGTGTCAGCAGATGACCCACTCAGGAAGGAACACTCCTAGCCACCTGGACATTGTTATGTAATGGCATACATGCTGAAATATATTGTGTATCTTATTTCTCCAACTTGAAGCAATATCAGAATAATCTGGGGTCTGAACTAAAAGCTCAAGCGTGAAAGGGATTATAAGGGAAAGGAGGGAAAAATTAGAGAGGGTGACAAAACATGAGACTCCTAACTCTGGGAAATGAACAAAGGGTAGTGGAAGGGAAAGAGGGCAGGGGGATGGGGTAACTGGGTAATGGGTGCTGAGGAAAGCACTTGATGGAATGAGCACTGGGTGTTTATAATATATTGGCAAATCAAAATTCAATAAAAATAATATAAAAAGTAAAATAAAATAAAGAAAATAAGAGCACAAGTGTTTGGGCTCACTTCAGACCTCGTAAATTAAAACCCATTCCCCTCAAAATTCCAACTTAGTAAGTTTAGAGGATTGCCTAAGAATCAGTATTTTACTAAGGGTCTTAGCGAATAGAATGCACCCTCCCCCCACCGTTCATATGCCCATCATGTCTGTTCTAGAGTAGCTGTCTAATGTCAACCAGCAGAGTGGTTTTATTTGCTTGGATATCCAGTGGCTCTGTGGTTGATGCTTTCTGGTGGGCATTAACATATAATACAAACAGCTGCACATCTTGTGTCCACTCTCATATATGTCCATGCACATGGCTTTACTCTATATCCCCTTTAAGTCTTCTGATCAGTGAGCCACATATTGACTACTTCCCACAAATCTGTGTGTATTGTTCCTTTGGGACATTGTTATTTTCATACCAATGAAATGGGCTCACCCATTACTATGGATTACTCCCAGCTACTCCCATTGACTATTTCCTCTCTTCACTATTTTTGAAGGACACTGCCAAGTGTGGTTGTAATACACCTGCCATCCATTTTTGCCTCGTATCCACATAGTGAACTGACCCATGTGTAAACAATGCTTGGTCTTTTTTCTCTTCATTTAACTAGTTATAGAGGGACCCTCCATATAACTCCAAATGCGAGCTATGGGAAGGGTACTGGTGTAATTGTGCTGGGTGATGTGGGGGTATGCTTTACCTCTTCATATAGCTTACTTGTACCCTCTAGTTCTGGTTGGGGTCAATTCTAGATTGAGAGTGAGAATGAGTGGGAAATATCAGTGAGGGTGACAGAACATGAGAGACACCGAACTCTGGGAAACAAACAAGGGGTAGTGGAAAGGGAGGTGGACGGGGGGTTGGGGTGACTGGGTGACGGGCACCGAGGGTGGCACCTGATGGGATGAGCACTGGGTGTTATGCTATATATTGGCAAATCAAGCTCCAATAAAAAAATATACAAAAAAAGAGTGAACAACTGCTGGACATGTGTCTAACTTTATTGCTTGATAGTCTGACATAATTCAAATCAAAATGGACAGTTTTGGATTGTCACTTAGTGCCTCATGTATAAGTGTTTCTTTCTCTATGAGGGCTCAGTAACACATGAAGAGCTATCTCTGAAAAAAGCATATAATTCTCTGCTATAGAGAATTCTCTGCTTGACACACCTTCTTTATTATTCCCCAGAGTGAGCCTTTCTGCCTGATGAGTTTACGTTATCTGAGATGATTTTTGATTTGCTTTTAATCTGGAAAGAAATTTTGCAGTGTGGAATTCCATTGCAAGTTTTTTCTTTCCATGTTCGAGATACCATTCTACTGTCTTCTGACTTCCATTGTTGTCATTAAGAAGTTAGTTGTCAGTCTTTTGCTTCCTTGAAAATAATGCCTTTTTATGATCTGTTGCTCTTATTAGCTTATTGGGTTTCATGCAATTTCAGTCTGATTTGGATTTCTTTTTATTTACCTTACTTAGGATTTATTGTGTTTCTTAAACCTGTGAATTGGTGTCTTCATCAGTTTGAGGAAGTTGCCAGCAATTCTTTCTTCTAATAATGCCTCTGTCCTACTTTCTCGTTCCCTTTAGGACTCCAATAAATGCCATAAGCTTCCTCGCTTTATTTCCCACATCTTTTACACCCTCTTCTGTGTTTTCTATTATCCTGTGTCTGTGCTATAATTTGTGTTTCTTCTAATTTATTGTCCAATTTATTAATTCTCTCTTATTCTTTTTGGTTTCCAGATTTATTGAGATATAATTAACATATAACATTGTGTAAGTTTAAGATGTACAAAGTAAGGTGGTTATCTGATACACATTTTTTTTGTTATCTAGTTGTGTGTTCTTGTAGTTCACTGAATTACTTTAAGAGGATTCTTCAGTGTTCTTAGACAGTTCATGTATCGTCATTTTTTTAGGGTCAGTCATTGGAGCTTTATTAATTTTCTTTAGTGGTGTCATGTTTCCTTATTGCTTGTGAGCTTTGTGATCTTTATTGGTATTTGCACATTTAAGGAAGTAGGCGCTTTTTTCAATCTTTGTAGGCTGGCTTTGGAAGGCACAGGCTTTACCAGTTAGTTTATCCAGAGATTCTGGGTGGGCTTGCTGCTGAAGTTCTCAGATAGGCAGGTCTGGTACCTGGGTCAGCAGGTGGGCAGACCTGGTGCTTGGGTCCACAGGAGCCAGTATGGTGTCTGGGTTCACTGGGTTCATATGCCCAGTGCCTGTCTATAGTGGTAGACCTGGGACCTGGTCTGTAGATGGGCCTAGTGTCTGGGTGCACAGGGCTGTCCTGGTGCTGGGATGGCCCTGGAGCCTGGGTTCATGGGAGCTGGCCTAGAAGCTGAAACTATAGAGGCCACTGTAGCAATTGGGCAGTCCTGAAGCCTGGGTCCATAGGAGTCAGTCTGTAGCCTGTGGCTGCAGGGGCCATGAGGACCACTTTGGAGTTTGGATCCATGGGGCCTGCCTGGAGGCTGGGGTCATGGGAGTTGGTCTGGAGACTGGGGCTCTAGAGACCAGCCTGGTGCTGATGTGGGCTGGTAGCCTGTATCCATGGGAATCTACCTGGAGCCAGGTTTATGGGGGTAACCTGTCTAGAGCCTGAGGTCATGGGGTCTGGGCTGGTGCTATGGTAGCCTAGGTGTCTGGATCCATGAGAGACTGCCTGGATCTTAGGGTCAATGGTACCAACTTGGAACTGGGGCAGGCCAGGAACCTCATTCCATGGGAGCTTATCTGGAATCTAGTTTATGAAGGCTGGCCTGCATGCTGGGGTAAGCTGGTAGCCTAGGGTCTGATGTTAGGGAGGGTTTCCTGGATTAGCAGGAGGCTGCCTGGAGCCTGAGTTTGTGGGGTGTCTGCCCAATACTAGGTTAGACTGATAGTGTTGGAGCCTACCATAAGTCTAGGGCCATGGGAACTGGTCTGGTGCTCAGATAGGGCAAGAGACTAAGGCCACATGAGTCAGTCTGGTGCTGGTGTGGGCTGATGGTGGAGTTCACTGTGAAGTCAGCTCCTTACTTCACTCTCCTCCCATAAGGTGGATGTCTCTTTCCATGCTGGGCTACCTTGGCTTGGTTGGTTGGGTTGGTAATGGCAGTAATGTGAAATTACGTTTCCTACCCTTTTTTTCAATGCATCTTTTCATATTTCTATGCTCCACTCAGGTGCTGTCATCCTTCACCTGGAATTCTTAGATCTTGTGAAGGTATTTTTATGTATGAATAATTGTTCAAACTGACATTTCTAGGAGGCAATAAGTGCTAGAAATTCCTATACCATCAGATTGTTAATGGTACTCTCTAATATTTCTTCTGCTGTATGTTGTCTGTTGCTAAATACAAATTTTGGTTTATTTGATTTTATTTGTTGTGTTATATAGTTCTAGAGATGCTGTTTAACTCTTCCAAATCTGCCACTTTTCAGTTTGCTATCCTAGAAAAATATATCCATATTTGTTATTTGCTTCTTAAATGTGGTTAGGATATTTGTTTTAAGCTCTGTGTATAAAAATACAAAATCTGATGTCTTTGTATGTTTCTGCTATCTTGCTTTGTCTATTTTTGGGGTTCTTGTTCTTGTGATCTTGTTTATGTGTATGCCTGGTAATCTTCAGTTACTTGTGGGTTGTTGCCTTTGCAAAATTATTTAAGTGGTTCTGCCCTCCTCTAAAGAGGCTTTCTCTTTGTTTCTGGTGCAAAGTGTTTGGTCTACATTAAACCAAATACAGTTTGAGAGTCCCTGGCTCAATCAAGCTGTGAATACTCAAAGTGAAAATCCTCCGGAGGGCTTGTCCATTGCCACAACCTTTCAATAATTACTTCTTTTTTTATATCTTTCCTTCCCCCACTTTGTTCAGTGCCAAGACAGCCCACTTCATGTGTCCCAGAGAAAGGTGAGGGTGCATCTAGATCTGGTTTGCTTGTCCCCTCCCCAGTCCTACACAGCCCAGAGTCCTGGCCCCTCCCTCCTTTTTGGTGCTTCTGTAACTAGAGTATGGTATGTGTGTATGTTATATCAGCACAGAACATATAGAGGTTTTAATGCTCCTTTATTTCAGATCCTGATTCTGTAAGTCTGAGATAAACCCTGAGAATCTGTATTTCTGACAAGCTTCCAGGTGATGCCAATGCTACTGGTCCACAGATCACACTTTGAATATTGAGGATATATAAAACAAGGACTGTTACATCTAGCAACTTGGCAACATGTGAACAAAAGCTAAATTGAATGATAGGAATTGTGCTATAGAAGTTGGGAAGGATTTATAGAACTGAGGTGACCATATTAGACCTTGACCTGAAGTAGTAAAGGTTAGATATGGGTGGACAAAGGAATGAAATCTCAAGTTGGATCCCGTTCTGGCTACCTGAAGAGAGAAGGAAGGCTATATCGCTAGATTTTATTCTTATGAAGCTCTTTTCTTACACAGAAATTTCCTTCACATGTTTGACCCAGTGTCTCATCTCAGGATCATTCACCACCTTGGTGGTAAAGGGTGTACCTCCATAGTAGGGAGACATAAGTAGAGATATCAGGTTATCTGGTATCACCAAAGCCCCCATCACCTCAACTAATGGCACTGGCTACATGGAGCTCCATGTATTTACAGGATGAAAGGATGATTCTGAAAGTATGGTCTCATTCAGGGGAATATAAATAATAGTGAAAGGGAATAGAAGGGAAGGGAGAAGAAATGGGTAGGAAATATCAGAAAGGGAGATAGAACATGAAGACTCCTAACTCTGGGAAATGAACTAGGGGTGGTGAAAGGGGAAGGGGCCCGGGGGTGGGGCTGAATGGGTGACGGGCACTGAGGGGGGCACTTGACAGAATGAGCACTGGATGTTATTCTGTATGTTGGCAAATTGAACACCAATAAAAAATAAATTTATTATTAAAAAAATTAAAAGATCCATATCTTATTAGCTGTGGTCCTGAATGTGTTTGCATTAATATATACAGCATCCATACCAATGTATTCTGAATGTTTGCTTCTTTATACCTTATAGTAGGACATTGAACCCCTCTCCTCAAGATATTCAAGTGGGTCTGGTCCTATCTCAGGACTATGGGGGTGATGCCATAGGCTCTAGATTTTCTTCTTGGAGTATGGAAACCAACTCATGCTAATGGATACCTAGGGCAACTTCTCATCCTAGTCGCAGATTGATTCTGAATCCTAGTTTTGACTCAGAAACACCTATTGCACATTTAAGTGTGGATGCTTCATGATTCCACAGTCTCGAGGAAATGACTTTGGAGCTATCTAGGACAAGACCATAATGACCTTTTATATCCCATTGTGCAGTGAGAATCCCTGGGAAGTGTATACAGTGTGAGCTTGACTGTTTTTATGTGGTTAGGTACACTGATGAGGTAGCACAAATGTCAAGAGCTAGAATAATCTATTGATTGTCAAAGCAAAAAGACTGGTAGAGAGAAATAGGCTGATCTGGGGTCTGGTGACAGACATAGGAGACTAAATAGGCCAGTTGTTACAGGAAGCTGTCATGTACTGGGGGAGCCTTGCATACTCTATTTTAACCCACACAATAATCCAACAAGGTACGATGCATTTCATATAACAGTCATTTGAGGATCAGAGATGTGAAAGGACTCTGCTAAGGACATAAGTCTGAAAGTTACAAAGCCTAATTGTGAATATACATCTTTTGAATACAAGTCTCTGGCTTTTTTTTTTTTTAAGATTTTATTTATTCATGAGAGACACAGAGACAGAGAGAGCATAGGCTCCCTGCATGGAGCCTGCTATGGGACTTGATCTCAGGACTCCAGGATCACACCCTGAGCCAAAGGCAGATGTTTAACCACTGAGCCACGTGGGCATCCCAAGTCTCTGGCTTTTGAACACTAAACTACTATCTTAGTGTGGATTCTCCCTGAGAAACCCTACCATTGTCTCACCAGAAGCTGAGGACACTAGGACATTTATCCACCAGCTCCTTCCCCCATTGACTGAGGTTGCCATTGAGATGAATATCCTTGAGGTGTGAAGCTGACAGGTACTGGGAACTGCCACAGTGACACTGAACTCAATTGGCCTGAGGAGATTGGGGAAGAGTATCAACGGCATTGCCTCAACTTTCCTTCACAGAGGATCAAATGTATGTCTAATAGCTGAGAGCGCTGGAGCATCTGGGAACCAGGCTCCTTTCTCGATAATCCAGGGCAGTGATCTAGTTTGTGATGGGCAGGATGCTCATTTGCTGACTTTGCCCAGGTGTGGCTCTCTTGAGTGGAGAAGCAGCATGTACACAGACTCTGAAAACCTGGGGAAGCATACACTGGGGGATTTTTACCTGGTCTGAGATTGGCAGAGACTGTGGTGACTGTAGGCCAGGAGTAGTTGCAAGCTGCACAGGTCTTAGGGGACCCATCCCTTCCCTAGCCTATCTTGAACCTACCTGGGGCTTCTACCCCCAGGAATAACATTCCAGTATGTCATTTTGTGGCAACAGAATCCAGTCATCAGTCCTGGGGGCAATCCCATAATGTTTCTTTCCTCAAACTTGGTGTTGATGACTATATTTCCTGGCTGTTGCTCTTAAAGGCTTAGCATGCCCTACTTTTTCAGGGTGAATAGAAAAGTCATAGCTGTGCTTGTTTGACATTTACATAAATACTCGTTGAAATCTCTGGCAGCAGGAACCAGCAAATTTTGAATGCCAGGCAGTCCCAGCCCAAGTGAGGCAGAACCTCCTTCCTTCCTTGTGTGGATAAAAAGCTTGGGACCTGTTGGAGTCAGTCAGAGCACCTCAGTCCAGAGGAAGCCATAGTCCATAATAACAGATTACAGGTACAGCTTGAAGTCGTGAAGCCTGTTGACCTTTGATCTTCTCTAGGTCCCTGGTGTCTCCTTTTCAGTAAAAGAACTAGGAGTCCTAGACAGCTTTCCAGAGCTCTTTGATGCAGATAGAGCCTTAACTTTGGATCCCAGGACAAGAGCATCTCTTGGACAAAGGTAACTTCAGCTCAGACGCCATTTGTGGGGGGTCTTCTTTCACTGCTCTATTACTAGCCTTGGGGAGCCTTGGGGGGCCCTTGGTGGAAGGCACAGGGTATTGGAGGAGCTAGGGCTTCTTTCAAGAGTGCAGGTAGTGATTTGCTTACTCCCTGTCCAGTGATAACTATTGAATCAGGCCGTGAGGATCCTGAAGTAGGGAGGGATGTGAACAACTGGCTCTAACTATGGGAAGTTTGTGGCCTTCATGGGGAGCTGTCCTAGTTCCCTAATCAGAAGCTCAGGGACATATGCCCCTGACAGTCAAAACACCTAATGGAACTTGTAAATGTCCATGTACAAGCTCCTAGTGATGCCTCTTTGGATAAAGAATGGGGGAAGATGAGGGTCAGAGAGGCAGGTCTGCTGCCAATTTAGTCATCTTGAAGCTTGAAGTCAGAATGAGTGATGACTCACCAGCATTGTGGGAAGCTAGAATGAAGATAGATGCACAGTCTCCTCTCCATTCCTTCCTTTAAATCCAGAGACTTGTTGCACCAAACAGTGGCTAAGGTAATGTTCTGGAGCCTCCTAACAATCACAGATCACAGGAGGGCATCAGAATCTGGAGAACCAGGACTACCCAGTCACACCAGAGATAGGAATTTCTATTTGGGGTTTTCTGGCCTTGTAAAACCCCCCTCCTTAGTCTCAAATATGCATCTGGGACAGGATCTTGGGGCAGCTTTCTAAAAAAAAAAAATTGATGCAAAATTCCAGGGTATAGGTGGGTGAGAAGTGGGTGACATGTTTTCCTTCTTTCTTTCCCCAACAAGACCAGCTGCTGACAACCTCCTCTTCATCATCTGATCTACCTTGTTCCCTTTAAGGAAGCTCAGAAGCTATCATGGCCACCCCACAAAGTGAGTGGTGAATTTCAAACCAGTTTGAAAATATCTCCATTCTGCTTCACCATAGACAATAGAGTACAAAGGCCCCCATCATTTACTCAGCTTACAGATGCGTTTATTTTTTGCTAAAATACTGAGATCGGAAAGTCTGCATTTGAAAAATCTCAGAACCATTTAGCTCTTTTCTTATTATGTCCTGAAGTTTATAATAACCTCATATGTGTTTCATACTTTTCTGTCTCTGGCAGGGGTAGAATTTCCCAGAATCTTTGGTGTTTGTGATTCTCTACAAATGGTGTGGGTCCTGAAAGAAAATTCATTAATAGCAACTCCTTTTAGCAGAAATGTCAAACCTGGTGAGTGACAATCAAAGCCACTGTTGCCTCTAAAAGGGACACCACCTCCACTGGGGATGGGGCCAAACTTACATGAACTGGCCAGGGCCTCTCTTACTTCTGGGTGGCAGCCCAATGCTCACAAAAAGGATAAGAATGTTCCCTTCCAGAGAGGAAACCCTGCATCTAGAAGTGAGGGTGCAAGGGATTGGCAGTTCTTACCAAGAGAAAATGTCTTCAGATAATAAGGGGTTGTCCACTTAGACAGCAGTTGACCTCCTTGGAGTTTCTCTCCTTTAAATTTTAACTATCACTACCTATGTCTCCAGAATCAAACTTGATTATCTTTTCACCATCAAAACAACACATGTTCCTAATTCAGTATCCTCTCTTCTAACAATGGAGGATATTCTCTGCTCCCAGCAAAAGTCAATCTACCTCAGTTTCTTTTTCTCTTGCTAGGACTTCAGTGTTTGATTTAATTCTTCTCTTCCCTCCATACTCCACCTTTGTCTGCCTACTGGACCCTTTCTACACTGACAGACATGCTCTAATATAATATTTCTAAGTTAATACTAAACACTTTCTCTTGATTCCCACATTCCATTCCTAATACCACTCTTCCCCCACCCCCCACCTACCAATTACCATACCATTCTATGTACCAGTCGCAGCCAAACTTCATAGAACTGTCTATACAACTTATTTCTACTTCATCTCCTGCTCATGCTTTCATCAAACAACCTGACTTCTCAACTGTTCTCTCAAGCTCTTCTTCCCAAGGTCTCCAAATACACTCCTCTGTCCTCACATTATTTGGTTCCTCAGCTACAGTCAACGTAACTGATAACTCCTTTCCTGAACCACCCCCCATCTTCTCCTTCTGTAGGAACATCCTCTTGTGGTTCACTGGCTTCTCTTTGGCATTCTCCTTTCTGACTCCACTTTCTCTGTAAAATCTCCAAATGCTCGGGATCCTCAGATCTCAGTCTGCAATCATTATGCAACCCCTCTAAAGGGATTGGCAGCTGGCCTCTTTCATTGATGTATTGTGTCTATCACTCTGGCATTTATGCTTCCAACCTAGAAGTCCCCTCTAAACAATCTATCCACATCCTCTCAATGTCCCCTCAGACATCTCTAACTTCATCTATTCAAAGCAGAACTATGGATCTGTCTTCTCAAAACTGCTGATGAGCCTAGTCTTCCTCATTTCTATGAATGGTACTACTATCACCTATTTCCTCGAGTGAGAAGTGCAGGAGGCATCCTTGCTTCAATCTCTATTCAATCCACCTGCAAAGACTGATGAATCTGTGTGCAAAATATGCCTTATTTCTAAGATAATATCATTTCTTACCTGGGCCACTATATTGCCTTCTCACTGTGCTTCCTCCCTCTTCATTTGTGTAGCTTCATCCATTCTCTACAAAGCATTAAGAGTGACCTTTTGAACTATGTTTTTTATATAAATTTATTTTTTATTGGTGTTCAATTTGCCAACATATAGAATAACACCCAGTGCTCATCCCGTCAAGTGCCCACCTCAGCACCCGTCACCCAGTCACCCCCACACCCCGCCCACCTCCCCTTCCACCACCCCTAGTTCGTTTCCCAGAGTTAGGAGTCTTTCATGTTCTGTCTCCATTTCTGATATTTCCCACTCATTTTTTCTCCTTTCCCCTTTATTCCCTTTCCTATTTTTTATATTCCCCAAATGAATGAGACCATATAATGTTTGTCCTTCTCCGATTGACTTATTTCACTCAGCATAATACCCTCCAGTTCCATCCACGTCGAAGCGAATGGTGGGTATTTGTCGTTTCTAATGGCTGAGTAATATTCCATTGTATACATAGACCACATCTTCTTTATCCATTCATCTTTTGATGGACACCGAGGCTCCTTCCACAGTTTGGCTATTGTGGACATTGCTGCTATACACATCGGGGTGCAGGTGTCCCGGCGTTTCACTGCATCTGTATCTTTGGGGTAAATCCCCAGCAGTGCAATTGCTGGGTCGTAGGGCAGGTCTATTTTTAACTCTTTGAGGAACCTCCACACAGTTTTCCAGAGTGGCTGCACCAGTTCACATTCCCACCAACAGTGCAAGAGGGTTCCCCTGTCCCCACATCCTCTCCAACATTTGTGGTTTCCTGCTTTGCTAATTTTCCCCATTCTCACTGGTGTGAGGTGGTATCTCATTGTGGTTTTGATTTGTATTTCCCTGATGGCAAGTGATGCAGAGCATTTCCTCATGTGCTTGTTGGCCATGTCTATGTCTTCCTCTGTGAGATTTCTGCCTTTTGAACTATGTTAATTGAACAGTATCATTCCCATCTGTTTGTGTTTTGGAGGTGGGAAGTGGGGGCTAGTGGGGAGATCTCAGGAGCACCAGTCTTCTTTCAAAGCCACATAAGGTCCTTTATCCATTCTTCCCCTGTGACACTCTCCTTTCAGATCCCCTCTAGCACCTTATTTCCATATCTTCATTTACTAGCATCCTCTTAACTTTGGGATCTTGGTTTGAACTTCACCTCTGCAGAGAGGTCTTTCTTGATTTCTCTATCTAAATTGGCTCTCCTGCTGTCCCAGACTTTGGACACTTGCCCCAAAGTAGGCATTGCAATTTACTGTGATTCTGGTCATTTCTCTGCTTACTTCTTTTGGTTTCATTTTCCATGGGGGCAATGACAATGTCTCTCATATCCTCAGCTAAATCTCTGATGCTCACATGCAGCCTTGTCCTGAGTGGGCATTCAATAAAGAGAGTTGACTGGAGAATTCTTGGCCCCCTACCCAGAAGGATAGATGCAGAACACCCAGGCTAAATTTGTTGGGAATTAAATTCAGCTGATAGTGACAGGAAACCCACATAACTGGGACTTAACTAAGAAATTTATTGCTTTCTCATGAAAAAGAAGTCTGACCAGGTAGGTTGAGGCCAGTGTGGTGGTTCCATGATACTCTCATTGTCCAAGGATTCTAGCTTTCTGCTTCACCAAGCTCAAGTTCTCCTCAACCATCATCCAAGTATTTGAGGCTGGCAGGAAGAGGACCTGGAGGATAAGAAAGGAGCTTTTCCCAGCTGAGTCAACACCTTTTAAAGTATATTCTTAGAAATCCCGCACAACACTTCCACATTTATCTAATGGGTTACAACTTCAGCATGTGATCAAATTTAGCTGCAAATGTGGTGGGGAATTTTATTTTTATTTTTGGGATGCAATATGCCTTGGTAACAACTAGGGGTCTGATATATTAAGTAAAAAAATGAAAATGGGCTTCAGATAATGATGAATGAAGGGTCTCAGCTACATGGCAAATGGGAGGAGCCTTTTGGGGGAGTCCTGACAGCTCAGCATCCCCCCTAGGCCGGGAGGAGTAATGTCAGGCCAGAAGGACTGGCCTTTCTGCTTCTTGGAGCATGCTACCTGTTTCCATTTTTCCTTGTGTTTCCAGTCAGTCTTGATTTAACAACATGTACAGACAAAGAATTCCATGATGCAGGAAAAGGCAATCCAGTTTACTTGGGAATCAAGGGCAACCATCTCTGTCTCTTCTGTGCAGAAATTCAGGGCCAGCCTTCTCTGCAGCTAAAGGTGAGTGGTTGTACAGCTAATGAGAGAAGCATTGGGAGATGATGCCCTTTTTATTTAATTTAACATATCACTGAATAAAAATAACATTTTTTCAATCCTGCATTGTTCAGTTTAAGGAAAGAAATGTGACTTGGCTGACCCCCTAGTCAACAAGCGCTACTTTTGGCATGGGTGTTACACTCATTTGAATGTGAGAGCATTCTCCAAAGCCAGAGAATACACCCACGAGAATATTTTGAAAAGGCCAAGGAATGGTGGCTTCTCCATCCTCAATTTTCTTTGACTGCTTCCCAGAAATTCCTCCAAGATGCTGGGCTGCTTCCACATAAGCAAAGGCCACTATGTGGCATAGGAGACAAGGAAGAGATTTTTTAGTCTGGATTTTGTGGATTGTTTGCCTATGGTCTCTATACTGAAGGTAGCATTTGTGGTTATGAAGTGAATCCTTCTGGTTATGATGAAAGCTGTAAGATGTCAGCCTACTTGGAGGCTGGGAATCTTGTGAGATGCCTACACCAGCAGATGAGTGCCCACCAGGAGCAACCATATAAGAGACTTAAGCCTGCCTCTATTCTCAGGGAAGGTAGTGCTGTCTCATAGAATCAGAAGCACTTGGTGTCATGGGATCCTGGAGTGGAGTCAAGCTACTGGGAACCAGCAGGTTGCCTGTTTTGACACCTGTGTTCTTTCATCTGCTTGTGTCCTTGGCATTCTTCCCTCCCGTCAGAGAAGGCAGGTACTCTCAGAGCTGTGTTAGTTTAGACCCTTCCTCTCAGTAATCCTCTCTAATAAGCCTTTTTTCCTAATCCTAGGAGAAAAAGATCATGGATATGTACCGGGAGAAGAAAGCACAGAAGCCGTTTCTCTTTTTCCATAGTAGGGAGGGTTCCACCTCTGTCTTTCAATCTGTTTCCTATCCTGACTGGTTCATAGGCACTTCCAAAATGGAAGGACATCCTGTCATTCTCACCAAGGAGAGGGGCAAAAATCACAACACTAACTTCTATTTAGAGCCTGAGGACTTACCTCATCCTGAGATGTGAGTGGCTGATTCCAGGACAGAGGATCAAGTAGTCCAAGAATCTTCCATTCAGAAATACAATGGGTCATCTTGAGAGACCAACATGCACTGATACCCATCCATATCCACCTCATTCTCATCTTCCCAAACCACCTCATCCTTTAGACATCATTTCTGCACCATGTCTTTCCACCTAAACATCATCCCAATATGAAATCTGAGTCACTTTTTATTCTTTCCTGATCTTGTCCCACCATCCACCAACTGCCACATCCAGTTAAGTCAACATCCAAAATGCTTCCTGTACACCCCTCTCTCTTTTCCTTTTGAGAACCTATGGCCTAGAGATGTGAATTCCAAATATTTTTGTTCATACAACCCTATCAAAAAGAGTACTATTTGTTAATTCTCTGCATGTTTATTATAAATATCATGATATGTATTCCCAAATGAATCTAAAGTTTTTATTTACTTAAGTAATCTCCACACACCTCATGGGGCTCAAACTTGTGACCCTGAGATCAAGAGTCACATGCTCTTCCAACTAAGCCAGATGGGTGCCCCACCAAAGATGAATCTAAAGGATAAGATACATATGAAATGAAAGTTTTACATGTCTTTATCATAATGGATTCATAATATCATTAGCTAATAATTTGACACATAATATATACTTTGGTTAAGATTAATTAATTCACTATAGTGAATTTAAATCAATCCATATTTTAAGGAATCACTTGTATTAGTTTAAGGTTTTTTCAGGTGACTCCTCAGAACTTATTCTATTTACTTATACACTGTTTTAAAAATGTTTTTTAAAAAACATTTTATTGTTTTTACTTATAAATTAGTTCAAAGTAGAAGAGCTATTTGTGATATTTTCCTGTTATTATTCATGTTTTCTAGAATTTTAGTCAAATCCTTAATTAACAGTTTCTTTATTAGGATGCTTTTAGGCCAGTTTGGTGAGGATTACTTTAGTTAAAGCCTGTAATAAAATCTAAAATTCACACAGCCAATCGCATGAAACTGCAATTTACCATAATATCTTGCTCATGAATGTGAACATGATAGGCATAGGGAATCTTGTTCTTTGACATGACAAGCAGTGGTATTAGGTTTTGCAATGGATACTCATTGCTAAGTTCAAATTTCTTAGCTAGGCATAATCTGTTCCAAAATCTATCCTTGTGACGTTACCTTCTGGTGCCTCACTGGCCGTGGTTCTGAAATAATCCTTGAATCCTCCATTACATCTGGTTGGCCTGTTTCTTAGTCTAGGCATTGCTGTGTGACTGGCTCTGAGAAGGTACAACCTGAGAGCATGTCATCTCAGCTGTACCAAGCATTTCTCTGCTTGGGATTCCCAGGATACCTTGGGGAAAGACACTTGCAGGAACTTGCTTAGCATTCACACATGTGCACACCTGGAAGTAAGATGGAGCTGCCTATGAAGAACCCTTGACTAATGCCAGGGGAGGGGAGTGGGGGTGGAAACATGCTACTCTCTTGGATCCCTCAGGTGGACAATTCTGAGACACATTCTACCTACACAGTTCCCCAGCGAGTCCCAGTAGGATGGAGTTATAGTCACCCATGGCAGTGCAGAGCTCAAGAACACACCCTTGCGCTGGCTTACCTCATTTCCCTGCTTTGGTTTCTCCAGGTTCCACTCCTGTTCCCTGAATTAATTTCTCACCATCTGAATGCAAACCCTTATCTCAGGTTCTGCTTTCTGGTGTAAACTCAGGCTAAGACAGATTCAGTCAAAGCAAATTTCTTTTCTCTGCTAGCTACACCCAACATGTTGGATTTCTTCCCTCTGTGCCTCTGTGCATGCTTTTGCAAACATTTCAAACACTTATCACTGTGTATCTCACCTGCCTATGTCTTCTTAATATCTTACATCTGTCTGAAGTGTTTAGAGGCTGCTCCTCATTCTCCCAACTAAGTCCAATATCTTATCTTCTTTGAAGTCTGTAGCACTTTGCCTTATCATGTGACAGACATTCTTTTGTTAGACTTGTGCTGGAGTTCTTTCCTCCTTGTCTTGGCCTCTTTGCTCCTTTCTCCTCAACCAAATTCTAAGTACATAGTGGGCAGAGATTGTGACTTTGATATCTCTAGACTCCTTAGGTGCCAAATCTTGCATCCTATATAATAATTGCTCAAAATACATTGTTGAAACAAATGAATTCTCATTACATGTATTAGCATCTCCCAATGATACTGAAGTGTGTCAGAGTGGAGTTTGCTTCATTGTGGCAGAGGCAGTCCTAACTGGAAGAAGGTTGCAAGGAATGTCAAAGCTCCTTGAAGAAGGTGGGGAAGGAAAGCACAGAAAAGCTGGCTAGGAACTTTCCTGTCTCAACTCTTCTTCCTCCCTATATGCCAATCTGACCTTAGGGGACTGTTATGGTATTAGGCTATCCTCTCAGGATGACTGCAAAAACAACCCAGAGCTTTCCAAAGGGCCTCCAGGCAATGTCCACTGACTTCATGGCATCTCTCTCTTGGATTTTGTCCAAACCTTCACCAACATACATTCATGCATATTCATAAACTATTTAGGAGCACAGGGAAAGGATAACAGGGGGTCCAGTGTTTCCAATGTCAATTTTTTTCTCTGACAAGGTCAGGACTAAGCACTAGATGACTGCAAGTCTGGCTATGAGAGACTTGTGGCGGCAATGAAATGGACACATAGTAAACAGGTTTTATGAGAAGGGCTACAAAGAATGTCAGTTCTATAAATAGCTGACCATGTAGAAATAATAGTAGACATCGATAAAAAACACAACATAACTCTAGGCTGTGATTATAAAATATTAACTTCTCAGAAATCCCAAGAGCACTGGAGATGAGCAGGAGGTAGATGACCAGCCTACTTTACACTGTACCACCTATTCCTTCTGACAGAGGAGGCGAGGAAGTGATGGTGGTGAAGGAGGAAGATGAGGAGGGGCAGGAGAAACCATAGAAGGACTCAAGAGGCAGTTTCTGATATTTTATTGGCTCTCTGAGTTTGAGGGAGGTTTTAGTCCATTTAGTCCTACTATAACAAAATTCTGTAGACTGGCAGGCTTAATAAGAATAAACATTGTGTCTTGCTGCTCTGGAGGCTGGAAGTCTGATATAAGGGTACTAGCATGGTCAGGTGAGGGCCCTCAGTGGGTTGCAGACTTCTTGTTTCCTCACGTGGTGGAATGGGATAAAGGTCTCCTAGGCTTCTCTCACATGGTTATCAATCTCATTCATGAGGGCCCTACCCTCAGGATCTAATCACCTCCCTAATCTGATTACACTGGGCATGAGGATTTCACCATATGAATTTTGAAGGAATCAGACATGCCCATTCCCACACCCTATATTCTCCATCACACTTACTCAAGAGAGAAACCAAGGAGCCACCCTTGATTCTTAATATCCTGGGAGCCCTAGCTCTATTCCATGAAGTCTATCTTTAAAGAGATCTACCCTCAAAAGATTTCTAATCCACCCATTTCTCTTCAGCTTCTCTGCCACTCACCACTCCAAATGAGGCAGCCACTATAACTCACTGGTGCTGTAAATCAGACTCCTGACTGGTGTGTTCCATCCTCTTTTCCCTGTATTCATTCAATCTGGTCTCTGTGAGCCAGTCAGGGTTATTTCTGTAAATGGAAATCTAAACTATATCTTTTGGGATCCCTGGGTGGCGCAGCGGTTTAGCGCCTGCCTTTGGCCCAGGGCACGATCCTGGAGACCCGGGATCGAATCCCACGTCGGGCTCCCGGTGCATGGAGCCTGCTTCTCCCTCGGCCTGTGTCTCTGCCTCTCTCTCTCTCACTGTGTGCCTATCATAAGTAAATAAAAATTTTTAAAAAAAAGTTAAAAAAAATAAACTATATCTTTTCAATGTTCATTCCTTCAGTGCTTCCATTTGCACTTAGAAGGAAGCAAATTCCCTTCCATAGTTTTCAGGGTTGCCTGAATGGCCTAATCCCTGCCTCCAACTCCTTTTCCAGGTAATTCTTTCTCCCTATCACTATTCTCAGTCATGCTCATCTTTCAGTTCCTTGAATATGCCAAATTCTTTACAGCCTCAGGGCCTTTGCATATGCTGTGCTCAGGTAAATCCCTATACTTATATCAGTTTACTCTCATTCTCTGCTTTTCTGGCTCCTTCAAGTTACCTTTTCATATGTCACCTCCTCAAAGAAGCCTTCCTTGAGCACCATGTTCAAATTAAGCCACTTCTTCTACCTCCTAAATTTTCTATCTCTCATTTTTTACTGTTTCTATCATACAATTTGTAATGACTTTATTTATCTGTCTTTATCTCTACCCCCTCCTTACACTGTAAAGTCTTTGGTCGCAGGGAAGTGATATTTGTCTAGGTTACCACTATATCCCTAGTCCTTACATGGTGTCTGTGTTTAATAAATATATAGTTTGTTAATAAATTAATAAGTGAATAAATGATTGAGGAACTGACTTCTTCCCCAGGCAGCTTGTTCTCCTTAGTGAGAATGGCCTCATTCAGAATAAAACCTACCTTCCTGCTCCTAAACCTCAATGTCGTGGAGAAGGTATCTCCCAAATCCACAGAGTAAGGGCATAACTTTGTGAAGACTGCTTTCATTGCCCTCTTTAACCTCTCTTTCTCCTCTGACATAAACCACCAAAGACGGAGAACAATTCTTCTCCACTTCTGATGTCTCCTTCCATTACACAGCTGCCTTTCTGTCGCTCCCTCCTTTCCTCTACCCAAGTGGAAGAAAGCCCGAACATCCCAGTACACACTATCTTGGTGTAACTGCTGGTATGACCTTCTTTCCCTTTCAGAAGTGTCATTTTATATGATAAATTATGTGGTCACCCTACCTATTAGAAACAGAGAGGGGCTCCTGGGTGGCTCAGTCAGTTGAGTGTCCAGCTAACTCTTGATCTTGGCTCAGGGCTTGATCTCATGACTGTGAGCTCAAGCCCCACATTGGACTCTGTGCTGGGCATGCAGCCTACTGAAAAAGAAAGAAAGAAAGAAAGAAAGAAAGAAAGAAAGAAAGAAAGAAAGAAAGAAAGAAAGAAAGAAAGAAAAGCAGGGATAGTGTGGCTCAGTTGCTATTTGCCTACTTTCCATTGGGAGCCTATTGCATTGAAGAAAGCATCTTTATAGACATGAAATGGTAAACATTTTGTGGAACTGTCCTGAGTCAGGTGCCTGGACCCTGTTCTGTCTGAACATGGGAGCTCACTGGGGTCAGGAAGAGCACTTCCTAGGACTCAGTGAAGGGGTTCTGGTGAGGAGTATCTCCACCTGACAGTTCTGCAGCTTCTCAGAGCCCAGGGAACGTCACCACTATGAGCATCCTGGACCCTAAAATGGACTCAGAATCCCTGTTAGAAATCCAGAAGAGAGAAGAATTTTCTCTAAGGCTGAGGCTCTGGCTTACAGCCTTTCC